CTAACATACTAGAGCCACCTCTATTCGATCTACTCGGTTCAACGCACCCTGACCTGCCTCCCTTCTCTTCACCCACACACCATCTTCTCTCGCTTCACGAATCGCTCCGCACAGAAGTCGATCACCTCGCCGCGAATCTCTCAGACCTAGAGGCTAAGCAGAGCATGATGCTCATGAACGAGTCCCTACGTACTAACGAGGAGCTTGCGGGAATAAGGGCTGCCATCGGCGCGATTAGGATGCAGGTGCAGTGGTTGATGAGTCAAAGGCTTCAGTCAAGTCACCAAGCTGCAAGACCTAATGGCGTCGCTGGACCGAGCCGTGGCGGACCAACTGGCGGAAGTTCTAGTGCATCAGCGTCTGGTGCGAGGAGACTGAGCGGTAAGCTAAATTTCGAAAGTAAACGGTTAATGGTTTGACTAATGCGAATACAGACACTACAAGGCAAGATGTCAAGTTATAGCAAAAATTTCTTTCTCTGTTTGGGTATGGGAAAGGGGCGGAACGAGGAGTTTGACAGTACATAGGAAGAACAGTGTAGAATGCAAGCAACGAGGCTTGTCTTATCGTTTACCTTGGCGTCATCACGGGGAGGACCCGGTCAGACAGCATTGGAAAGTTCCAACAAATCTTGCGATTGATGCTACTATGCATTATTATCAGTCCCTCTTTGTCATCATCATGGATGGTCTTTGTTCCCTTATGGCCGTTCCCATATGGCCGTTCCCAAATGCGTAAGACTTTGTTCACGTGACCTCGAGTTTCTCGCCAGCGCGTGGACAGCACACTGGAGATTTCATCATCCCATTCCTTTCACATAACGTATTCCCTTTAACCCACCGTTCGCAATCCCGTTGATCCTCCGATCCCTTCTGCTACTTTGCGCAAACCATGGACTACCTATTAGGTTGGGGCGTTAGATTTCTAGATCTCTTCGCTCCAGCGCGTAGACGGGAGAGGGAGACAGCACTTCAACAACCACAGAGGGAACGACGGAAGCATTCCACTGCGACCAGGGAAGGGATATATAGAATTAGGAAACAGTACAAAGGAAGGCCCTGGCGTCCTAGACAGTTGGAGGTTAGAGCCACGGAAGGCGTCACGATGACCCATGAAGAGCTCGAGAATGAATGGAAACAGCAGCCGAACGAATGTGATGCTTTGTCCGATTATCGCTCTAGAAGTTGGGAGAATTTGGACTCAAGGGGCGAGATCGAGGGAAGCCCTGCTTCTCAGACGAACCCAACTTCTCCGGCGAGTCCGACCTCTCTGGAGAACCCGATTTCTTTCGGCTCATCAGTTCACTCTAAGGATGGGCAAGAGCAACAAGAAAACCGGAAGGAACAGGAGGGACCGCGTTTCTTTGAATTCGACGGGCTAGATGATGCCACTCTAATCAACGAAAACGAGGATCGGAAGGATATAGAAAGGGCCTTGATGTATGAGAAAATTATCAGTGAGATCGACTCCGAAGGTTGGAGCAATGACGAATTGGTCCTCTACTCTCGTCTGCGAATGCGAGGACGGGAACCCATGCTGCCAACTCATTGGAAGATGGATTTCGAAACCATCCCTGGACATCTGTTTGGGAGCGAGAAGAAAGTTATGATCAATTCATATTGCCAAAACAGCTTCCATGGTTAGTTTCCAAGCTACCCTTGCATGCCCGCAGTTCTCTCACTAATCCCTCAAACAGCGACACAAGCGCTTCATAAGCTTTTCAAACTCGGTGGGAGGGTACGAGACCGAGAACTTGCAAAGCTACCACCTGAGCCTATGATGAAGAAAGAAATCGAGCGATATATCCGGTGGTCTCAAAAGGACGGACAATTCTGTACGTGCAAGCCTATTCCCACTTAATCTCAAGTTAGCGTCGAGACCTTTAAAGAAACGTTTCTAACCGTATTTCAAATTAGACCGTAAACCGCATGTACCCATCCTAGCTATCATAACCAGTAGCCGCAAGGAGAGCGAAGCGAAGCTCGAACGACGCATCGAAAGGAAACTCAAAACCCTCGCCGACAATTATCGAGCTGCCCCTCCCCCGCAAAGCGAAACGGGGGATATTCGGCCGATGCCTACCTTCTACGGCATCATCATCTCGGGAAATATGTTCGGGTTTGTCACTTACAATAGTGCTAGCAAGGATGCACCTATCCGCAATGTCGGACTATTTGACTATGCGAAGCATGAGAGTGACGTCTGGAATGGTATCGCGATTGCGTACATCGTCATTGCGGCGAGGAACAATCTAATTGAGATCCTCGAGGATGTCGCATCCGTGTACGCAGATACGGACGATCCCGACTTGTGAGCTGTTGGGCTTATGCGTCCGGAACATTGGACCTGTGGCTGCTGGGGTGTGGGCTACGCTATCTGCGGTGTGGGTAATTGCATACAGACTCTGTGGCCGATAGAGCTGTGCCTTTACGACCCACGCACTCCCTCTGCGGAGGCATGGAGTTGCCCATTTTATAGTACCCATTTGGTGAGGTTATACAAAATAAGGCGTTGAGAGATTTTGGTTTGTTTAAGACGTATTTTTAGTTGAGGAAACGTCCAATCAGGTTTACTTGATCGTCACATCATGACGCGAACACGGAAATATGTTGACGTTAATGAATGGGTCAACGATGAAATCATTAAGTGGGTATATAACGTTACTCACCACGAGAAGTTGATGAATAAAGCGCGGTGGCACGCTTGGAGTGGGTATCATTGCGATTCCCGGTCAAAGTAAAATAAAATTAAAATTGCCACCATACCCGTATCCGGAATAATTTTCATACAAGAAGCTACTTTTGAGTATCGGTTACCTGACCGTCAAAAAGCTATTGGCAATCGCACTATGCCAATACTGTGCCAAAGGTGGATACACTGAAAAAGCGAACTAGGCAAAAAAAAAACACTTATGTAGCCGCCAGGAGGTGGTGCCGTTATCCCCTTCATCATCAACGTACTCGATCCGTCACCGGGTATCTTGTTCGTGACGACATGTGGATTCATCCAAGCTACAAACCCCAAACGAGCGCCGACCCGACGAACGTCCCCAACATGATCCACGTCAATTCATCTCTCGAGCCAGCTCCTTTTTTCGTAGACTTTGGGTTCCCTGCAGTCGAGGTCCCCGTAGCTTCTCCGCTCGTATTCTTCCCGCTAGGGGTATTGCTCTGATCATCCGGCAACGGCTGAATCGCTAGCCCGTTTATCACCAATCCATTGCTGCCCTCAACCTTCTGTGTAACCTTTGTGTCCGTCACAGGAATTAGCTTTCCCTGGTTTGGGTTCTTCACGCCATTGTCAATCAGTTGCTGACCGCCACTCGGTATATCGGGGATATCGAATTTGGAATAGAAGTCCGGGGAATCAATCAAGCTTGCATCGCACTTCGGGGGAGTTACAGCAGCATCACCAGGATCCCCTGAGGTGAGAAGGGTAATGTTGAGCTTGTTGTACTGCTGCTGGAGATTATCGTAATCCTGCAGCAGCCTCACGCTACCGTCACTATTGATATTTACGAGTCCGTAATTAGACGGTTCTTCCGAATATTCGTAGACCAGTCCTCCACTAAATACACCGGTCATGTCAGGTCCATAGAGCGCTTGCACTTCATTGAAAGGTCGAGGTGATTGCTTATTGCATCCGTACTCGGAAAAGAACACCGGGTTGCTCGTATTCGAAAACCGCTGTACCAAGTCGGCATAAGTCGAGCTTTGGAAAGTGGCGTCGGAGCCGCACCAGGAATAGGAGTTAAGGCCAAAGAAGTCTGAGCGTGTGGGGTCGTTGGCATCACCATCGATAGCGCATTGGAAATACTCCCACGTGGAAAAGAGAATTGGGCGGACATCCGCAGCGGAATAGCCGACGGGTATCGGGCGCGTGGAATGCTTTGCAATGTATTGTTTGAGGTCGCGTGTGACAGCCTGAAGGTGCATACAATCAGGTCAGCGGGTGGTCTGTCTTTTCTCCCCAAAAACTACAGGCTATGCCAGTCCCGTAAGCCAATGGATTGCTACTGCTCACCCGTATATATGGGGGTATAATCTTTATGTTCGACATGTCGTTAATAACCTCGTTCCCGCCGAAAAATCCTAGGGTATTCGGATATCCCTTGAAGGCCTCGACAACACCAAATATGCGGTTCAAGTAGTCCGCAGTATACGTGCTGTTCGGGTCTACCCGTGACAGACTCTCCCCGTCCAAAGGCGAGTTGACGTCCACTATCATGTATATGCCGACTGCATTGAAGATGCTGGCACACATATCATGGTTTGCAGAAGGGTTGACATTGTATACACGGATGGCATTGATACCTAAACGCTGCATAAGAGCAGCATCGCGCAAGCACACTGAACTGTCGCTGAGAGGGTCGTTTCCAGACTTTCCATCATATCCGGATGATCCGCCAGGTTGGTAGCTGCGAGGGCGAACATGTTAGCCGTCGCGCAAAGCTCATGACCGAGAGTCTACTAACGCAACGCCAACGATGTGAAAGCGGTCTTTCGACGCGGAGTTGATAAACTCGCTCCCTTTCACCTCAATCGGCCGCACAGAAAGCGTGTAACGGATGAACAGGAGCTGAAGGCTAAGGAATTGGACAATTGCTCGCATAAACATGCTTGAAACCATTTCGCAGGGCTATCGGGCTACTGGAATGATATCTAAGAGTGTTATGAGAATATCGAGTGGTAACGAAAGGAAATGGAATCAATTGCACCGGGCCAGAAGTAATAAAGCACAAAACGAGCGGACAGACGTTCCCGGGAAGGAAGTCGAGGGTGAAGTGTGTGCGGAGGTGAGAGCGATGGGGCCATTTACTCTGCTCATCTTAATCCTCCCGCAGTGACGTCGCTTACTACCAGCGCGGAACCAAGAAGTAGGTAAAAAATCCAAAATAAATTACAAGGGAAAGAAAGACTCTGCTTTTTTTAAAAAAAAAAAAAAAGAAGGAAGGCGCAACCCATCCATATCCCACGCGTAAAAAAACCAAAAAATTCAATTGAGAGGACCGAGGTTCGAACTCGGGCGGGAAATCCCACTACGGTTTCAACTTTCGCGAAAGCCTAAACGTAGCGCCATAACCACTCGGCCATCCTCCCATCAAGAATCTAAAACCTCCCCCGCTATTCCCCCCCATAAACGACCCGGTCCGCCCACCCAACCCGCCAAACAAGGAAACAACCAACCTCCGCGTCCCTCTCGTCGACCACCACCCCAAACAACACAACCCCCCAAAAAACCCAACCAGACGAAACCCCGAGCGAAACCGCGCACCCCGCCATGTCCTCCTCCGCGCCGCGAGCCGCAGGCTCCTCCTCCTCGACCGGCCCGCCCGGGGAGAAATCCTATTTCGAGCAGCAGCGCGACGCGCTCGTCGGCGAGATCGCACTAGTGCGCGCGCCTCCCCCCACAAAGCAAGGCGAGCTAACGGCGCGCCGCAGAGCCTCGAGCACGTCCTCATGAACATCAACAAGCTCAACCGGAACCTCGAGGGGGTCCTCGCGGTACGTTCCCCCCCCCCCCCAGCTCAAGTGTATCTAGAAACGCGCGTCGTGTTGGGGGTGGTGGTCTGACTTGTTGTTTGGGGTGGCGTTGTAGGTCGGCAAGGAGTTCGATTCCGTGGAGGCGCTCTGGTCGCAGTTTGAGGGCGTGATGGCGAAGGATGGGGAGGTGGAGGAGGGGGGGGAGG